GCTGGAACGACTCGCGCCCCTTCCTCTTTGCGCCCCCCCAAAGCTGACTAAGCTGACTCGCGCCCCTTCCCCTTCACACCCCCCCCCCAAAGCTGACTAAGCTGACTCGCGCCCCTTCCTCTTTGCGCTGCACACCCCCCCAAAGCTGACTAAGCTGACTCGCGCCCCTTCCCCTCACAAGGGTTCCACAAGGCACCAAAAGGTTCCACAAAGGTTTCGCAAGGTTCCATGGTTTGCCCTAAAGAAACACAATATGTCGTGCGCCCGTCGTTTGCTCAGAAGATCGCCTTGCTCATGGGCGGAACACTAAGCAAAACCGAAGTTCATGGTTCTCAGCACACTTTCAATGTTTTGTCACTTGCTCACTTCTTCAGGCAGTGCGGCCCGAAGTGTTGGCTTTGTTGCAAATCAAATCACGTTGCTGCGGGACTCTCACTGTGCAGCAGAGTAAATGCTTGGCATTACTGAGTATGGCTTAGGCTTTGGGTTCCAAAAAAGCTCCACGAGGTTTCCACCAGGTTCTGCAAAAGCTATGGGGCAGCCCTGAGGAAAGTGTGCGAGGTTCACCGGGCGGGCAATGCGCCGTCGGGGCCCGATTGCACCGTTGGGGCCCGATCGGGCCCGATTGCGCCGTCGGGCCCCGATCGGGGCCGTGGCAGCCCGCTTGCACCACGGGACACATCGCGGCGTCGGGCCCCGATTGATCGGGCCCCGATTGCACCGTCGGGCCCCTGATCGGGCCCCGATTGCGCCGTCGGGCCCCGAGCGGGCCCCCATTGCGCCGTCGGGCCCCGATCGGGGCCGGACTCAGTCGGGCCGCGTCAACTGTACCAAGCTGGCATGGCCTAGTTGCTGGATACACAAAACCGGCGTTGAGTGGCTGGGGTTGGTGGGAGCCCGCTTGCACCACGGGACACATCGCGCCCCGGTCGGGGCCCGATTGCGCCGTCGGGCCTCGCTCGGGCCCCGATTGCACCGTCGGGCCCCGATCGGGCCCCGATTGCACCGTCGGCCCGATCGGGCCCCGATTGCGCCGTCGGGCCCCGATCAGGGCGCGATTGCGTTGTCACTCTTAGCTTTGCTTTACAAAGTTACAACACGGCATCCTCAGCAAAACCGGTCGTGGTGCGTTCCGCGAGGATTCGATTCTGGGAGGGTGTGGTGCTGTTGGGGGTATCGCCTGAGCTTATTTTTTAAGAATGACCCCATCTCTAACTGCAAATCATGACCACCCGTGGTCTCCCAGTTGCCTGTGACCCTAGCAGAAAAAAGACACATTGAAACCCTCTTTGGAGTTGACGATCTTTTGCGGGCCACCACCAAGAAAGCGCTTTTCAGACATGGGCACACCGTTGGCATGTCCAATGCCAAAATTGCTAGAGGGATCTCCTTTTCAATGTGATTTTGCGAGAGGGGCGAGCGCTTCTTCCCCGCACTTTCCCCGCCTCGATGCTCATGACCTCTTCATCAGGTATCATTTCTTGCACGCCGTCGTAGCACCTGGCAGGCGCTGGCTCGTCACGGAATCACGACTTGAGCAGCGCCGAGACCCCTCTTGGCTGTTTGAGTGGTTCTACGACCTGGTTTCACATGGGCTTTAGAAAGGGAAATATCACCCACTTCTCCAAGAATGCGAGTAGAACCCAAAGTCAACATGGGATCAATGGGTCTTGGGCGCTGCTCCTTCAATTCCTGAGATTTGTTGTGGATGACAACACCCTGCACAAGTTGGTAGTAGATGCTTTGTCCCAATATTCGTTTGGAGTTTCATCCATCGCAGCGCAAAGGCAAGCGCAAGAACAACCCTATTGGAAGTCAATGTGCGGGCACACTACGGTTAACTCCACACAAATTGCAGGTAGAAACAAGGGTAAACTGGGTTCCCTTGCAGGGAATCAATCCACTGTACCAACCGTGCTGCCCACATTTTTTCGATTCCATAAAACCCAGCCTGTTCCCCTTCAAACAGGACCCTCTTCCCATTTCGGGGCTGGAAGCTTCCACACCGCGCGCCTTCCTCTTTTCATGTCTCAACCCGCGCACCGATTCGGCGCCATCCACACAGATTCGTCCCTGGCGGGCTTCGGCGCTACGAGCCCGCGCTTCGGCGACCTCTGCCGAGCCTCAGCACCTTCGGAATGGGGGGGTTTAATTGGTTTCCCAAGGAATCAGTTTTTCCCCAACAGCTGCTGGGGTCTCAGCCCAGATAGGCTCCGGGGTGGTCCGGGGCTCTGAGGTAAGGTTCCACGAAAGTTCCACGAGGGTTCCACCAGGGTTCCACCAGGTTCTGCGAGGGGTGTGGGGTGGTGCGAGTACTAAAAAGAGCACCGCATGTTGGGGATATCACCTGAGCTTTTTTTGGGGGGGAACCCCTGCTGGTTGGTTTTCAAGGGAAACCACAGGAAAACCAACCCATTTTGAGGGGTTTCATACAGAAAGACACACCCAATCACTTGGTTGCGATGTCAACCTGAATATGCACAGACAGCAACACTTTCGGGCATGGGACCAACCACGTCGCAAGACGCATGTTTCTTTGGAGCATATCGTGCAGCCACATGTGCGCCATGGTCAACACTCTCTGTGCGCAACCTTCATAGCCCTGGAACCAAGCAAGTCATGTGCATCTGCACCCTCTTTAGGCTACACGCCGCCAACCCAAGCCAAAAAGGGCACCCTCAAAAAGCCACACACCCACAGCGATAAACCAAACAAAGCATCGCGTTGATTCCAAAGGTGCTGGGCAAGGGTCGCCGGCGAACTATCCTCTGTACAAGACGGGCACTTGCCGAAAGCGACGGTGCGACGGCCGCGGGGCTGAAGTTGTGAACAAAAACCTCGTAGGGGTCTATCTTGGTTTCTGGGGCTGTTCGATTTTGTTTCCCGTCAAAACAACGTCGCCTCAAAAAAGACACCTTGAACCATTTGGGTCTGCAACGATGCGTTCACCTATGGCTGAAGATTGAAAATTGCCTCCGTGCTTTTGGCCAACCTTTCCCAGTTGCTCAGCAACTCTTGTAGAAAAAGAGAACCGTATTTTTGGCGGACCATCTTTAGCCACCATAATAGTTCAAGTGAACACCTCTATGGCTGGACAAGCCAGTATAATTGCTACAGTAGATTTTAGCGACTTGGTTGCTTGCCCTGCTATCGCGTAGAAACTGGAAGCCCAAGCCGGCACGATTGAACCCTCACTGGGCCCTCAAGTCGCCTCCCTGGCAACTGGCCACCCGCCCGCTTCTCACGATGAGATCGGGCGGGGGGAAAATCGGCGTACTGCGCGCCGGCTCCGGAGCCGTGCGAATTCGCCGTACGCCCCACTTCGTCACCAACCTCTCAGCTCGTCTGACTTATTGGCAGCCAGGAAAAAGAAGGCACGCCTGAGGCAACGACGCATTAACTGGGCCAAGGGAGAGACAAAGGGCGGTACATCTACCCTGTGAATCCGTCAAGACAATTAGCGGGGGCAAGACATTTTTTACCGTGAAAGCTATTTTTTACCGTGGGCAGTTTTTTTACCGTTGCCGTTGCCGTTGCCGTTGCCGCGAAAAGTTAATTTTTTACCGGGGAAATTGCCGTGGCTGTTGCCGTGGCTGTTTGGCAAGGTGCAGTAGTTTCGCAATAATTCCTTCCAAACGACTGCGAAATTATCTCAGCGCAGTAGTTTCGCAGTAGTTAGCTCCAAACTACTGCGGATTAGCTCCAGTGCAGTAGTTTCGCAGTAACTACTTCCAAAATAGCCGTTGCCGTTGCCGTTGCCGTTGCCGTTTTTGTTGCCGCGTTTTTTTGCCGTTGCCGTTGCCGTTGCCGTGAAAAGTTAATTTTGCAAGTCAATTAAGAAGTCACTAATTGCCGCGAAATGGGAATTGCCGTGAAAGTTAATTTTTACCGTGGGACTCTCTAATTGTCTTGACGGATTCGTTGGGTACATCCCAAAGCTTCAACTGGGCATCGGCCTGCGAATGTCGGATCTACTGGGAGAAGGATTGCAAGGAAGCTTTCCCTGGAGCCCGCAGTTGAAAACACCCTTGGCGTATATCTTTCTCTGATGTGTGGGCCCTGTCAGCTTCCTTCCCGCCGAAAAGCATGCTTAAAGCATGCTAGAGCCACGGTGTCTTCTCCTAATTAACACTCTCCGGAACTGCTTGGCAGCCGCGCGAGGTCGCCCATTCATTGAGCACGAGAACGAGACCCCTCCTCTTCCCGCGGTCAAACAAAAAACAGACGCGCCATGCTCCGCGGAAACTGATGCGTTGGATACAGCGCCCAGATTTCCATTGGCGTTTTCCGTGCCATCTAAAATATCATGGTCATGTTCCTTTAAATCCACAAGGGAGACATCTAAACAACACCAATACATGTCTTCACCGGTCATGACTGTATCCCGTTAGAACAACAGGGCAAGCAAACAACAAGTCCGCCGACAACAGACGGCGTGTTGGACACAAAAAATGCTCCTTACCTCTTTACCTGTTACCCCTCCCCTGACCCCTCCCCAGGGGCACCATTTCAGACTGTTGCGGGGGGGGGGGGGTCCACGTACCACGCGGTGATTCGAAGACGCTTCACTAAATCTGTTCATTGTGCGGGCTTGCGCAACTCAGTTTGTCAAAAACATTGGGGTGTTCGATTCCCCCCGGGTGCGCTGTCGCATCCTTAGCAGCTCCAGCGGCACATCGCCAGCATCACCTGCATCATCCGCATCAGCGCCTGCCAAGGATGCGGATGATGCAAGTGATGCTGGGGATGTTGCCCATGCTGGTGAAGGAAATGAAGGGGGGAAAGGGGGAAAGGATCTCAACAGCGAAAGGGGGGGAAAGATCTCAGGGAGGAAAGGGAGAAGATCTGGGGAAAAAATGCCTTAAGGGGGAAAGGGGGGAAAAGATCTTTGGGAGGAAAAGGGAAATCTTTCTTGGGGGGAACAGGCCCTAAGGGGCAATGGGGGGACAGGATCTCAAACGGGAAAGGGGGAAAAAGACTTTGGGAAGAGAAGGGTGGAGATCTTGGGGGGAAAAGGCCTTAGGGGGGAAACGGGGGAAAGGATCTTAAGCGGGAAAGGGGGGAAAAGATCTTAGGGAGGCAAAGGGAGACGAACTCAGGGAAAAGGACTTAGGGAGGAAAGGGGGGGAAAGATCTTTGGGAGGAAAAGGGAGAAGAACTGAGGGTGGGAAAAGGCCTTAGAAGGAAAAGGGGGGAAATAAATGATCTCAACAGGGAACTGGGGGGGGGGGAAAGATCTTAGGGAGGAAAGGCAGAAGATCTGGATCAAAAAGGCCTTAGGGGGGAAAGGGGAGAAATGATCTCAACAGGGAAAGGGGTGGAAAAGATCTTAGGGAGGAAAGGGAGAAGATCTGGGGAAAAAAGGCCAACAGGGAAAGGGGGGAAAAGATCTTAGGAAGGAAAAGGGAGAAGCTCTCAGGGGGGGAAAGGCCTTGGGAGGGAAAGGGGGGAAAGGATCTCAACAGGGAAAGGGTGGGAAAGATCTTAGGGAGGAAAGGGGGGGGGAAGATCTCTTAGGGAGGAAAGGGAGAAGATCTGGGAGAAAAGGACTTAGGGGGGAAAGCCCAACAGGGAAAGGGGGGAAAAGATTTAGGAAGGAAAAGGGAGAAGCTCTCGGGGGGGGAAAGGCCTTAGGGGGGAAAGGGGGAAAAGGATCTCAGCAGGGAAAGGGGGGGGGGGGGAAAGATCTTGGGGAGGAAAGGGAGAAGATCTGGGGACAAAGGCCTTAGGGGGGAAAGGGGAGAAATGATCTCAACAGGGAAAGGGGTGGAACAGATCTTAGGGAGGAAAGGGAGAAGATCTGGGGGAAAAAAGGCCAACAGGGAAAGGGGGGAAAGATCTAAGGAAGGAGAAGCTCTCAAGGGGGGAAGAAGGATCTCAACAGGGAAAGGGGGGAAACAATCTTAGGAAGGAAAGGGGGGGGAAGATCTTAGGGAGGAAAGGGAGAAGATCTGGGAGAAAAGGACTTAGGGGGGAAAGCCCAACAGGGAAATGGTGGAAAAGATCTTAGGAAGGAAAAGGGAGAAGCTCTCAGGGGGGGGAAAGGGGAAAGGGGGGAAAGGATCTCAACAGGGAAAGGGTGGGAAAGATCTTAAGGAGGAAAGGGGGGGGGAAGATCTTAGGGAGGAAAGGGAGACGATCTGGGAGAAAAGGACTTAGGGGGGAAAGCCTAACAGGGAAAGGGGGGGAAAAGATCTTCGGAAGGAAAGGGAGAAGCTCTCAGGGGGGGGAAAGGCCTTCGGGGGGAAAGGGGGAAAAGGATCTCAGCAGGGAAAGGGGGGGGGGGGGAAGATCTTAGGGAGGAAAGGGAGAAGATCTGGGGACCAAGGCCTTAGAGGGGAAAGGGGAGAAATGATCTCAACAGTGGAAAAGATCTTAGGGAGGAAACAAGGAAGATCTGGGGGAAAAAAGGCCAACAGGTAAAGGGGGGAAAGATCTAAGGAAGGAAAAGGGAGAATATCTCAGGGGGGGAAAGGCCTTAGGCGGGAAAGGGCGGGAAG